TTTCCATGTAGCTCCTTCCCACCAAAACAGCAGGGTGGACAGCCACAGCTAGATGGGGTAAGCAAGTAGTTCATTTTTAAGACCAGGCAGTCTCCTGCATGCAATTTTGCCAAAAGGGCAGCTCATTAGTTGCTATAGCACCTATTTCAACTGAGATACAGGAAGACACAGGAGATGTTGCTGGTACAACCAGAACGTCTGGAGTATCACTGAACACAGTTGCTAACAGATATTAAAAGGGAGATGAGAAGGACTCCCAAAAACTGTCGTAAAGGTAGCACACAGCTCTCTACTCTGTTGGGATTCTTCCAACTGTGACAATAAAAAATGATTTGTAAAATGACCATGTGCACCAAGAGATGCCACTCAGTGATATTTCTGTTGTTATTCACAAAATTAAGCTGAAGAAGAATATGAACACTAAGGAAGACAGAAGAGGACAGGCTAAGAAAGCGAAATTCTCTCCCCTGCAACACTCCTGGCCTATTGGGCTGATGTTGGAAAGTTCCTGCCGCCCTTGTGAAGAATGATCCATCTCACTTAAAACTGCACACTGGAATCGGTCCAGCTGCAATATGAATCCACACCAGTTTTCTCAGCCAAAGACAGAGGCCACTGCTCAGCCAGCGTCTCTACTCCTTCCTAAGGCCAACTCTTCATCACAAGTGAGACTTCTGCAAAATTTTACAAGACCTCCTCAGTCTCATAATCTCTTTAAGATGTGCAGTGCCTGTGGGTTTTGAAACATACAAAGTAATATTGGAGAAAACAAGCTGGGACAAGTGGTCTTAGTACAGTAAAAACATGGTCAGTCCTTGAATTCCATCACTTTTGAAGTTAACTTAAAATTACGTGTTGGTTTTGGCTGGAGTAGAGTTAATTTTCTTCACAGTAGCTACTATGGGGCTGTATTTCGGATTTGTGCTGGAGACAGCACTGATAACACAGGAATGTTTTATGTTATTGCTGAGCAGCTCTTACACAGAGTGGAGGCCTTTTCTTCCTCTCACACCATCCCACCAGTGACTGGGTTGGGGGAGCACAACAAGTTGTGATGGGACACGGGTGGGACAGCTGACCCCAACCAACCACAGGGATATTCCATACATTATGGAGTCATGCTCAGCATATAAAGCCAGAGGAGTAAGATGGAACAGTGTGGGGGGGACATTCGGAATTGTGGCATCTTTCCAAGTAACCTGGAGGTGGCTGAACACTTGCCTACCAATGGAAGTAATGAATGAATTCCTTGTTTTGCTTTGCTTATTAAACTGTCTTTATCTCAACCCACAATTTTTCCCACTTTTACACTTCCAAGTCTCTCCCCCATCCCACTGGGAGAGAATGAGTGAGCGGCTGTGTGGGGCTTAGTTGCCAGATGGGTTTAAACCACAACAGTCCCTTTTGGCACCCAAGGTGGGGCTCACAGGGTTTGTGATAGTGCCACATTTGATTGAAATGTGCTGGACTGAGTTTATAGCTGTTATTGCTGTTCAGCTATTAATCGTGAGGCTCCTGTGCTTCCATGGGGCTTGTTTGCCTGAGTCTAGTGCTGATGAGTGGTGGCTTTTTACTTTCCCTGCTGGCTGTAGAGCTGTGCTGCTGATCACCTTACTCTGTTGATCCTGGGAGCATTTGGATAAATGGCACTGGTGATGCACCTGGGCTGGCAGGTGGCCAGGACATCGCTGCTGTTTCTGTGCTGCTGTGCTGGACAGGCAGGAACTCCAGTGTGAACTTGAGTCAAAGGGATTGCGACCTGTGGATGAGCCCACCTCAAAGCATCTGTGGTCATGGATAAGCCTATGCCAGAGTAGGTACATCTACACGCCTCTATGGCCATGGTTCTGTCTGTGCTGCAGCAGCAAGTATACCCTGAAGGGATTGTGGCTCAAGGATAAATCCACGCTTAAGAAGGTACACCTTGAAGCATGAGTCATTCTGGAGCACCTCAAAAGCATGTGGCCATGGATAAGCCCATGACATAGCAGTACACCCCTGGAGGGACTGCAGCCACGGGTAAGGCCATGGTGGAGCAGGTTTAGTTCTGGAGGGACTGTGGCTGTGGGTAAGGCCATGTTGGAGCAGGTACATCTCTGAAAACACTGTGGCCTGTGGCTAATGCCACGCTGGAACAGGTGCACCTCAAAGCAACCATGACTGTGCATAAGCCTATGCTGCAGCGGGCATTCCCCTGGAGACACTGCGGCACATAGATAAGGCACAATCCTAGGTACAACCCTAGGGGCGCTGCAGTCTGTGGATAAGTCCAAGCCTGAGCAGGGTTAAGGGGAGGAATTAACTGCAGTGTTAAACCCTTCAGTCTGATCCAAATGGAACAGAACTGAAGCTTGTAATGGATAAACCTTTAAATTGTTTTAAGTTGTGATGTGAGTTGCATGTTATAGGAATTATTGTAGCAGGAACCACCTAAACCAATGAAGGACAAGCCTTAGATGAAGCAGTGCAAGTGCAGCAGGGACCTGACCTGAGCTGGCTTTAGTGCTCAGTAACTCCACACAAAACATCCTATCCTGTCCTGAGTGACCACCGTAATAGATGGAGCCCAAAGTCATGGACTAAATGAACTCAATAGGCCTTTTGTGGACATTTGTGGACCTTTTCCAAACATTTCACAAGAGTGGTCCACAAATTAAGGGAAGCATATCTGCATATTGTATTAAAGGATGGGAAGGGGGGGATGGTTAGTGAGGATGTTATTGGAGAGTGTGGGGTCTGAGCATGAGGTAAATGGTATGGAACGAGTCGTGGAGAATGTACTGGTTTGGGGTGGGGTAGAGTTAATTTTGTTCACAATAGCTGGTATAGAGCTGTGTTTTGGATTTGTGCTGGAGACAGTGTTGATAATTCAGGGATATTTATGTTATTGCTGAGCAGCTCTTACAAGGTTCTCACACCACCCCACCAGTGAGTGGGTTGGGAGTGAAAAGAGGTCGGGAAAGGACACAGATGAGACAACTGACCACACAGATGTTCCAGACTATACGATGTCATGCTCAGCAATAAAACCTGGGGAAAGAAGAAGGAAGTGGGAAACGTTCAGAGTAATGGCATTTGTCTTCCCAAGTCACCATTACATGTGATGGATTCCAGCTCTCCTCAGGATGGCTGAACACTTGCACATGAGAAGTGGTGAATTAATTCTTCATTTTGCTTTGTTTGTGTGCATGGCTTTTGTTTTTCTTATTAAACTGTCTTTATCTCAAGCCACAGGTGTTCTCACTCTTACTCTTCTGATTCTCTCCCCCATTCCACTGGGGAAAGTGAGCGAGTGGCTGTGTGGGTCTTAGTTGCCAACTGGGGCTAAACCACAACAGATTCATAAAAAGCTTTGCTTGGAAAATTCAGTTTTGATTTCTTAATTCTCTTCAAGGTAGTTGTCAAAGCTGCATGGAGGGAGAATGCTCAGATAACGTACACTTTGTCTTTCAAATTTCCGTTCTGTTTGGCAGCTGTCATCTGCCTATCCAGCGCTCTGGGGTGTGAGAAAATGAAGTATATAGTGGATATTAAGCTGAACCTTAGGCCAGTCTTTCTAGAGCTCACACTGCAAAGCTGGGTGTGCACAGATTTTTTGTTTATCATTTCTCTCTCTCTCATCACCCTCAGCTCCTACAGACACTCATACTCCCAAAGGTGAGTACAAACAGGGTCAGAATTTGTCTTTTGGTGACTCAGAAAAATTCAGGAAAGTTCAAGAAAAAGGAAAGAGAGTAATAGACAGGGCACTATGAAATCTACAGAGACAAAGAAGATTAAAAACAGGAAGAGAAAACCTGAGCTCACTAAGATAGAGTCTGAGCCTCTATATGTAATAGAAATTATATCAAGTATAGAAAAGCGCAGTCCAAGCCATCTATATATTCATCCTGCCACATAAAAATTTGTCCTCTGCAAACAGGTAGCTAGGTGAAGTCATAGACCCAGCTGCTACCCATATTTCTGTAAAAGGAACATCACTCTGTCTTTGCTGCATGGCAGACTTATCAGTAGCAGATACCATGCAAGGCCTGGAAAAGATAACAGGGATATTATCAGCAGCAACTGCGAGACTCTTTCTTGTGAAAGCCTTTTCATTTTTTTCAGCAAGCTCTCCAGACATCCCACATGAGGTGTGAAAGGCCTGGAAACTGCTCCAGCCACTTCTGCTGTTTCCATTTCAGCTATCCACAGAGAAGTGATTGAAATGCTGCAGTGTGCTGCGCATCTTACTAAGAAAAAACTCAATGCTCTCACATGGCAATATTTATTCTGCATTCAAAAATACTGTTTCAGTGCCAGAGCCAAAACATTTTACTGCACTCACTGCTGCTACATCTAAGTACAGGACGCACGAGTGAGATTATTTTTGCATGGTAATTGTAGGGCATTAAACATTTCCAATACTCATATGGCAAACTCACAGGACATTCTCTGGCACAGAAAACATCACAGAGTCCACCAAACCCTTTAGGTCTTTGGCTAATTTTCACTAACAAGCCTTTTCTACTTTCCATTCCCACTGCATTCAGCAGAACAAGATTCATAAGAACACAAATCTCCCTTTGTGAGTAGTTTTAATCTAATGTGTTACTGCATGAGTGGAAGGCCCTGCAATATAGCCAGTGTCCTGCTTTCATTCTGTTGTAAGGATGCTAACCTCCAGCAAGTGACTGTGGTGGGCAGACAGGAGCAAGTTGTCACAATAAGATTCATCAAATCTCATGTACGCTTTTAGCCTTCTTTTTTCACCTCTCCCTTCTTATTCTGAAATTAACAAGTATCCACATGGAAAGCACATAACACACTCACTCTTCATGGAATTGAACCACAGAAACACTAAATGTGTAGGAAGGACAATGTATCTGCATGGTTTTGTAAGTACTATGAAATATACTCTGTGCTCTGGCAGTCTCGTTCTCCCAAAAAATGGGCATAGGAATGATCATGGATACAATGAAGCATACACTGCTTTCCCCTCTGCTATCTGCATTGCTTACCTTCATTAACAGCATGAGGCTTAATAATGCAACAAGTACAGTTTGTGAATGTTGCACTGCTCACTGGTCCACGACCCCCACTGGAGGGAAAGAACAACTCCAGCTCCTGAAAACAAGTGTAATTGAATACATTTTAGATTGATCTAGCTGCATGTATCAGCTTTCATCATAAGTAACAATAGGTGAAGTATCCATAAGTACAGAAGATAAACCTTAAGTACAGGCTTTTTTTTTTTTTGCTACAAATACTTCTTCCCTATACTATT